CCTTTCCAACTAGGAGTGAAACGATAATGCAAATACAATGTCGGGCAAAATTCAGCTAATCTTTAAGAATGCATTTTAGGTTGGAGTTGATTCTCACATGTAGTTTCATCTTAGATTAAATATATTACGATACATCACATTAAGTATGGCTAAACATGTAAGGGAGTTCTTCACGGAAATTCAAAATAGGATTTGTGTTATTTGCATTGTGGCCCTTTTGTAGCATAAGAAAGGTCCGAAATTAAACTTGTTAGACGGTCTTCCAAAATCGAAATTTCAGAGTATTAGAGGTTCAAATTCCAAAACTATCTCGAAACGAGGATTCTGGGTAAATCAGTTGTATTTAAAGTCATATTTGGACTGGAAATCATAATTCATTCCATCTCCAAAGTCGGAGGTAGTAGATGAGCAGATGTGGACAGGTAGTTCGGGGGGGGGGGGGTGATGGTGTGTGAACATGCATATGTACATATATATATATATATATGTATGCATACATATATATATATATATGTATGCATACATACACACAAGAAGTACCCCTCATGATCCTGCGCCTCTTCAAACAACAGAAAGAAAGACTGCAAAATACAGTGTTGTGAGCATTACACCTACCTTTGTTTACCTTCTGGGAAAAGGGTCAACATGAGCATAGCTTACCTGAAGCAAAAAGCTCAACAAAAGCACTTGAAAGTTTGTGCTTGCAAGCTGTTTCACTGGATCGCTGAGCACTTGAAAGCATTTTACACTGGATTGAAGATTCACGGTTGAAGATTACAAAGAGCACTTCCTGAGGATCGTCAATGCTGGCCAAACCCACACAACATTCAAGTTCTTATAAACGCGTGAAAGTGCTTTACCACTGGTTTGAAGATTCAAGATTAAACATTACACATACATTTTTTCTGAAAATCCTGAACCCTGCTCAGTCCAAACAAGCTTTCAAGTTGCTCTAAAACCTCAAATGTATTTTGCCACTAGACTGAAGATTCAAAATTTAATTCTTTCACAAACAGTTTTTCCGATATTTTTGTCCTCGCGCTGTGAATCCAGCCCGCTTCTTCGGCACCTCATGGAAGAATAACGAGATCGGTGAGAGCCTGAAGGTGCTGCACAACTGGGGCACGTCATTTGAGCTCAATGACATCCTGCACGACGCGATCAGGCTCAAGAGTGGGCACTCAACCAGCCCGGTCAGTGCGGGTACGTACCCGATCCTCGGCGCCCCCGGTAAGCCGGAGGAGATTGACGTGCCTCATGTCATTCCGGCTGCTTGAAGAGACATTGGACATGTTCAACGATCCGTGGAGAAACTCCATGAGGACAAGGAGAACTGCGCACCAGCGCGGTCTATGCTTCGTGCAAAAAATACTATATGGGTGCAGTACCTTTAAGATGGTAGGGCTCGGGCCTAGGCGCGTGGCCATGAAGCAGCCCGTGAGTCCGCGCCCAGTCGGGCGTTCAAAACTTGGAAACCTGACATGTTGTTAACTGACTAAAGGACAGGGTGGAAGTTGCCACATGTTTGCCCTAGATTTGTTTGCATGAAGGGCATTGATAAGCAGCCAAGCGTTATGTGTTGGTTGCCCAGATTTTGGAATCTTCGGTACATCTCCTGGTCTTGGCGAACATGCACAGGTGTGCGTGTTGTGTACGTTTGATTCTGCGCGCACGCGCTTCGGTTTGTGGGGTTCGCTTTAAGGGGCTGGACGATTTGGCTTGGGGTTGGTACGGACGCGCTTGGGGTTGCCTTAACAGGAGCCCGAGGCAACCATCATGAGGGTGCAGCCATCATGAGGAACCAAGGGCCATCTAAGGTCAAGGATATGTTCCAGGAACCGCCGCTTGTCCATTGGCAAACCCGTTTTTTGCATTTGTTGGTATGTGTCCCTTTGGAACCAGCAACCAAACGGCCGGGTACGTGTGCTTTTCGTGGGAATCCGCGATGTGGCGCTTCAGATGCCTAGGCACTACATCCAACAGCTTCTTCAGCAATCCGCCCGAAGCCCAAGCTGCAGACGCGCTTAGGCCGCTTGTCTGGGGATGTTGAGGCAACAGAGTGAAGCAGAGGCCTCCAACCTCACAGGAAGACGGGCTTATGCGAACCTTTTCAGCTTTGATTTTCTCACTTGATCTCTCGGCGAAACCTCATGGAAGGCAAAGGGTTCCCATCCTTTCTTTGGTTTTGTAGCCTTGCAAGCGACCCGCATACCCAACTACTCAACTGTTCTGGCTGTGTCCTAAATCTGTGTCCAAATGGTGCTTTTGCTTCAATCTATGGCCCCGGCTTAATTCTGCTCGAAGTGGTTTGCAAATAGACAACCGATATGATCTTATGAACCACACGAGCAGCAATGAGACGGCTTGTGATGGATTCTGTATGCTTGGTTCCTCCAATGGCTCCCCACTTCAAGGTCAAGGTATGTCCTGTTGTGTTTTTGTTTGAATCCTCGCGGCATGTTACCAAAGGGTAGGTCGGAACAAGTTGGTCCGGACGCTCTGATTTTTTGCGAAATACATCCCACAAAACCGTTTCGCGTTCTTGTCGAACAGGTGGGAGGGTCAAGGGACGGACCACCTCCAACCAAACCAAACCGAAGCGGGAAGCGAGGTGTCGAAGCTTCTGGACATGAAACTTTTGGTAAAACAGCAGCTTGGGCCCAAAAATCCATGGAAGTGAGCCAAAAAGAAAGGGATGGTGTTGGTATAAAAGGGGGGGGGGTCCGCAAATCTAGCAGGTTGCCTCCCGGGCAAAGGGATGTGTGTCTGTCCCCTCAAATTCCTTAGGTGTCATTGCCCCGGAAGACCAGAAACATGGACTTGCGGGACAGGGGGCGGTGGGTGCGACACTCATTTTCCGCCGAGGCTCGGCATGTCAAGGTTTTGTTCAAACACTCTTGGTGCCCTTGTACTTCTCACACATAGGAATCGGTTCCCTAAACTGGCGTAGCGGTTTCCTGGTTTCCCGTGAAATGCCAAAAAGGGCCCTCGGGAACCCTGCTGGGCTTTAAAGGAGCACCCCCTTTGTTTCGTAGTTTGAAAGGAACACTTTCTGGTTTTGTGTTGTTGTACGGGAACCCCCTCCTGTTTTCTTGGTGTTATGTTTTTTGTAGTTTTAAAGGAACACACCCTGGTGTTGGGGTGTTGTAATGGAACACCCACTAATTAATAGTGTTGAAGGAAAACCCATTGTTGATGTCAAAGGACACCCCCCCCCCTCCAGTGTTTGGTGATTTTTAAGGAACCCCCCCTGCCTGGTTGTTGCAGTTTTACAGGAACGCCCCCCTGGTTTTGGGTCGTTGTAACCTAAAGGGACCCCCCCCCCCCGGTTTTTGGTGATGCTAAAGGAACCCCCCCGTTCTTGGTGATGTTAAAAGGAAAACCCATTTCCAGGAACTCCCGGTTTTGAGTCGTTGCAACCCAGGCTTGTGGGATCGCTCGGGGTTTCTCCCCACTTCTGTGATACAAACAAATCCCCCTTAGAACAAAAGAGTCTTTGGGGCTTGCCCTTTCTGTATCAGAGAAGTCATTCCCCACAACCCTGCCATGACCCTTTAAACATGGGTGCATGACCAACCATTACTTTGGGTAATGACCAACCATTTTTTGAGGGTCCTTAGGGAGACTCCAGGTGTCATTCCCCACCCTGTTGCGGCTCCTGTCGAAGGACAGCGGCACGGCGTTTTTTTCATCTCGAGGCCCGGCTCCTCGGCTCGCTGCAGCTGCTGGGCGATCCGGCCAACCTGCCGCCGCCTGAGACGGGCTGCGAGGGAAGACCTGGGGACGGGGCGGCGTTTTTTTCCGCGGCCGGCCGGCCCTTTTTGGGGAGGGATCCCATTTTTGGAGCGGTTTAAAGGGGAAACCAAAGGAAGACCGGTTTCCATTTTGGGGAGCCATATGTCCGTTCAAGTTTGGGAAGAAGCATTTGGAATTTTGCCGCACCGGTAGGAAATGAAAAAGGGGTCCCCGAAAAGAGGAAACCAGCAGTGGGATGGGTTTCTCGGGGTCACTGCATTTCTCATTGGCTTCTGAGCACCAGCAAGCTGGATTCAGACAAACCCACACGTTTTGGGGGTTTACCTTTGAAAGTAGTTGGTTGCAAGGGGGCTCCCTTCAAGCAATTGCTGCCTAGTCTTGCTGTTTATGAGTTGGAATCACTATAAATCATTTCGTTCGTTCAACGGGGACCCCCAAACAGTTTATTCTCAAAACCCTTGCTGATCTGCGGAGAACCCGCTTGTTAAGGGAAAATGATCCAAACCCGGGAGCTTTCGGTCAGCTTTCATTTGGTGAGGGGGTACCAGCTTTTCCCCGAAAAAAAATAGAATAACTCCAACCGGTGATGTTTAGACCGTCCGAAAACGAGAACATGGAGTGTAGAGTTGGAACCAAGAAACAAGCTTGGATGTTCAGACTGCTTGATACGCAGGTCATGGCCAAGGTTACAAGTGGGTCAACAGGGGGTTGTTGCAGCAGCACGACAATACAACACGGGTTTCCAATCTACTTAGTAGATTGAACATCCAAGTGGTTTCTCATGATGGTGACACGACTTGCTTTTCACCGGCCAATGCTTGAATTGCACCAGCAGAAGGCGATTGCTCACCAAATCCACCGTCATTGGGAGAAAACAATAAATATTGACCATGACTCCTATCTTTTTCCAGCCCTTAGTGCTTCTTCGGCCTTGAAACGACAACCTAAGAGACTGAAGTTGACTGGTCAACAGATTCCTTTCGCTACCTGGGAGAAACTCCCGGTCATCTCCTCTTGGCGCACCCATTTCTCACGGGTTGCTCGAGCGGTTTGAGGTGCCTTGTCAGTTTGCAGGAGTGTACTCCCCAGATCAGTACGGAACCCACCCCCCTTTGCGCGCTTTGAACTTGCAGGGCAAACCTGTCGAGGTGCTTGTGATTCAAGCCAAAAGGAAGCGTATGTCTGCAGTTAGGAAAAGGGCACCCTCCACCGCAGCACACCAATGCGTTTCTGTGATCTTTCAGGATGGACGAGATCGGCAGCGGGGTGATGTCCTTCTTCAGCAAGACCAAGCAAGAGGCAACGTGCTTCGGGCGGGCAACAGACACAGGTTCCGAGGTTCAAATAGCCAGTGACCTTCAATTTGTTCTGAAAGGAAGCCAAAGTACGTTCATGATTTTCCAGACTCCCTATTTAGCACAATTGTCAGTTTGGGGTTCTTTTAAAGGGCAGCCAAAGGGGAACAAATTCTCATGCGCCCCCGGGAGTTGACAGATACTGGCATCTTGCTTGAACTCATGTGTTTATAGGTTCAAAGTGTTACTGCCATGTTGGCACGCAAGTAAACCACTGATCTCTGAATCGGGGCTCCCAAATGAAGAGGGCCACATGAACCTGGCATCGGGCTGAAATTTTCGTGGGCTTCACTGCGTTCGCCGGCCGTCCTCTTCGTGAGTTGCTTTGCTTCTTTGGTTCTCACGTTCACTGCCATTTTGTGGTTCAGAAGTGTGTTCGCCCCAGCTTCGCTGAATTTGTTGGCAAGGTGCTGATGGACACAGTCAGCTTTGCACCAGTCGGGATAAGTGAAACCCGTTAGATGATGGGATACGCTACGCACCAAGTGGTTCGAAGCGGATTTTGTCCATCCACAGCATTGCCAAGAAAGGATGCCAGAACATGCTCAGGCCATTTGTTCAGTGGGCAGTCATGACAGTCCTCGGAAGCTGAGCAAGCCAGGGATGTTCAGATTGCCTCCAAATGATTTTCCCGCCAACAAACGGATGAGCTTGTTGATTTCTCCCTTGAACAAATACGGCCAGAAACCGCATACACTCAAAACACCCGCATCTACTGTACCTGAATCTTGTTAATATGTGGCAACAAAACAGTACAGAAAAAAAAAAAAAAAAACAAGTTGGCTACCAAGAAGGGTCTGCGGCTACCAAAAGGAAGACCCTCAGCCCTCCCTTGGACACCCCTCTGGGGAGTTTCGGGGTGTTGAAATTCCGGCGGTTTTGGGAACCCTCCAGAGCACAGGCAACTCAACAGCAACTGCAGGATCAAAGGTAACATGGATTGGATTCGGGGTCCTGATAGCCAGGCCACCAGAGAAATCCACGTTTAAGACAAAGCAAACACGCTTGATGGCAATGGGACGCCAGGTTTGTTTGCCCCAGTTGGTTAGGAGCCATTTTAGAGGGGATCCATCGCTTTGACGGGAAACGCTCCTTATTAATGCGCAAGGTTGAGTCCTAGTGGGCCCCAGTTGATTTGTTTGTGCCGTCAAGCCAGCTGCAGGTTTTGTTGGGAGCATGTTTGTTGGCGCGGAGCAAAGAATTCAAACACTTTGGCCTATCCACACTCTGGTGGCGAGTTTGGCAACAGAAATGCATCACCGGAATCCGAACCCTTCTTGTTTGTTGGACATCGACGGGGGTTGGAAGTGTTTTTTGGCTGGTTTCGCCCTCTAAAACCACCCCCCAAAAAGGGTACTTTGAACAAAACAGGAAACCAGGGTGGAAAACCACTTGGGTACCTGCACAAAAAGGATGTGAAATGAGAAAACACATATGGTTTGTGATTCTGATTCATCTCTACCAAAAACAATACACAATACTGCAGGAGATCCCAGTATGGATCCGTTCCGGCAAGTGAATGCTTGGGCCTTGCCTGGTGTTTGGAAGAAAACAGGGTTCCGTATTGGTTCTTTGAAGAACTATGAGTACATGTCCCCCGATTTTGGCCACGCTCCCAACTGGTATCCACTGGCTTCCCTCCCAGACAGGTGCTGGGCCAGCGCGCTGGTCTGGGCAGCACTTCGGCGAGAAATCTCGGTAGGATTTATTGAAGGGAGGGGCTCGGGTTCGAGCAGAGTTCTAGGGGTTGGTTCCTGTTCCATTCTTTGCGACCATCTTTTTTTCTTTTCAAAAACCAGCTGTTTTTTTCAGGGTTTTTGGTGGTTTTCTAGAAAGAAGGATCCCTGGAAAAGAATGGGGAAGCAACCCCTTAGAGGAGTACTTGAATTTATTCCTTGTGACAAAAGTACCCAACAAACCCACTAACTATTGCGTTGCTAGACTTAGTTTACTATGTTCATGCCTTCATTTCCCTTTCAACCAGCAAAGGGTTAACGTCCTGCAGGGGATCTATGCCTGGCCCAGTGTTGTGAGTCCTTGTAGCAACTCAGTATCGTTGTGAGTTCTAACTCAAGACGCTTTGGTGCAAATGAATTATGTGGGGAATCATGTCGACCAACCATTTCGGCAAGAAGTGGCAGAGCTCGCTTGAGAGGAAGAGCGTTTGCCAATTTCAGCTGGAGTCTCTATGACCCTTTAGCAAACAGGGCAATGTACCATGATATTTGAAGCGTCATGGGGATTCCCGGTACATTTTGTAACACACGTCCCATTTTGGGAGCATCCCCGTCCCATCTTTTTTGGTACGGTAAATGAATCGTAGGGGATAATCCCAAGCGCCTGCTTCGAGCCTTTGTAAATCCTTGAAGTCAAGGACGCAGGGCACTGAAGAGGTGAGTATCCTGGTCACAACCCACCTCAAGAACTTCATAAAGTTTAAACAGGCGTCCCAAAGGAGTCTTCCAAAATGACTTGTTTGGGGTTCCACATCAATGTGGAGAGTAATTATGCTTCTTTCTTTCTTTCTTTCTTTCTTTCTTTCATTCTTTGTTTGTTTTCTTTCTTTCTTTCTTTCTTTCTTTCTTTCTTTCTTTCTTTCTTTCTTTATTTCTTTCTTTCTTTCTTTCTATGTTTCTATTTTTTTCTTCTCTCTCTGTCTCTTTCCAAATGTTATATCTATCTATCTTCTTATCTGTCTTTCTATCTATCTATCTTTCTCTCTAGTGGAGTGACGCTCGAAGCAGAAATATGAACAGAAACAACAACCTGGCTGCTGCCCCCTTGGTTTCCTTTTATCTTTTAACTACCTCCTGAAAACGTATATGGGCGTGTCTTGTTTAGGGGACCCCCAACACTCAGGTGTTCCAATTTGGATTTCCATTTCAAGGCAAAGGGATACCCTCAAAAAAGACGCCCCCCATCTGAGCTCTTTCACGGGTTGACAGGGATGACTGTGCGACGCGTGTCTAATGGAGGGGTGTTTGTCTTCCATTGAAAGCCGAAGCCAGGAGCCTCTGGGTATGGGTGATTGCCTTCCATTTGCTTAAGGATAGTTTTTTGTTTTTTTTTGGGCCTGTTGGTTTTAAAGGGAATCGATTTTACTACTGGACATATGTTTATTTTTTTCCAAGGGACTTAAGCAAATGGAGGTTGCCTATAGGTGATGCTCAAAACCACCAAGCAGGCAAATATAGGGACCCCTGCGGCACTGCGTAAACTCGGGTTACGAACAATTTGACAATGTCTTTCTTCGAAAGCGCTTTTCGTTGGGTTGCGGGGAAGCCACACATACACCGCCGAGAATGGGACCCACTTAGCCTCTCCGCAAACTGACATGGAACTCAACACGCACGAGTTCTTGCTGGTGCCCAGTAGGGATTAAGGAATGACTCCGATAAACCATCCAACTGGTGGTTTTCTTAGACGGAATTCCTGGGTTCATTCCCAGATTCCCTATCTATCGCACCAGCAAGAGTTGGAGATTCCGTTTCAAACAAGCACGGTTTGCGTGGTTCCGCGTTTTATTTGCAGAAGAGCAAGCTCCTGACAGGGAAGCTTAAGGCGCGAGGAACCTCTGGGATTGGTGCCCTGTTTCAGTGCCCTTGGTATCCTGCTTTGGTCTTCTTTTTCGGTACCTTGTGTCAAGGAGATTCTGTTCCTCAAAATGATGCTTTGTTGGGTTGGAGGTTCCTCTATTGGAGGCTAGCGCCCAACTTTAGCGAAGGTTGCATGGATGGATCCCTTCGCGTGGAAAAAGGGGTGCTCGGAAAGGAGGGTCCGATCCTAAACTTAAGCATGGAGGGGTCGGTCACCCCTTCGGGGACAAGACTCCCTTGTAGAATAGCCTTTCTTGGTAAATTAAGCCTCCGTTTGGTGACTTGCTTTTTTGGCGCCTCTGCCAATTTAGGTATAATCTCAAAACAGGCAGACCCCAAATGCCCGGTGTTTCTGTTGGGTTCCGTAGCAAGCCTTTGAATGGCCCTCAACAAACGTCACACACCCATGTGGCCACTTTGAATGAGGAGCCCCAAAAGTTGGTGCACATGAATCCCCACCAAATTTCCGATGTCCACCGGTTTCCTTGGGTCTCAGTCGAAGGGCACATGAATCCCCACCAAATTTCCGGTGTTCAGCCGGTTTTTCTCGGGTCCATTTGGGCGACCTTCTGCCGGCCATTTGGGCGGAGGTTCGATCCGACGCCCAGGTGGCGTCACCGATCTCACCGAGAGCATCGTCGGGGGTGCCCTGCAGTCCTTCGCCAAGATGTCCGGCTCACTGAAGGCGAGTTGCGATTGGGAATGAGAAATGGACCCCGAGAAAAACGAGTAACGTCCCACTGGTTTCCTAGGGGAAGGACTGGGTTCATTTTTATAAAGGTCACCTATCTTGCAGGTGCGATAGGTAGGGAATTCCAAATGGAATGAACCCGGTGAAATTCAGCAAAAGGAAGCCACCAGTTGGATGGATGGTTTTTTGTCGGGGTCGTTGGGATCATTCCAAGTCTCATTCCCTGCTGCGCACCAGCATCAAGGTGAGGCCCACATTGTCACATACAGCGGTGTGGGGATCTGTCAAAATCGGGACCTCCGCAAAAAGGTTTTTGTTTTTTCCTGTTTTGATTTCTTTGGCATGGGAACCCACTAGATTCCCAACAAAAACTGGGACACTCGCTAATTTGCTTAGTTTTTCTTGGGGAAGCCTTCGTCATTTTGACCATGGCTTTGATGGACCCTGCAATTCCTTTTGTAGCGGAAGTGAAATGAAGCAAAGGAGTGGAAAGCCAAAGATGGAGAGAGGAAAGACCAGCTTGATCAAACATACAGTTTTTGGTTGAGGACAAGCTGTCAAGGGGTTGCTTCTTCAGACCCTAGGATCCAGAGCAGTTGTCCATCAAGGTCTGCTGGACCCTCAAAGACCCTCTTAGAAGGTCCCTTGGTACCAATTCTGATCTACTTGAGGGCCAGAAGAGGGTCCAAGTACGTGACAGGGGTGCAAAAGGCAAACCGATCATTCGGATTTCAATGTCACCTGCAGTCACTTGCAGCTTAAACGTTTAAAGCCGGCTTTTCTTGAAGCCATGTCGCGCAGAAGAGGCACGCTTTTTATTGCGGGTCCTTCAGAAAGCGGGCCACCGCCTGTAAAGCGAGTTCAAGTATTGATGGGGATGGGAATTCCACCAACTCATCGGAGCAATGGGCCCAGTGTCACGGGGTTTTCCAAGAATAGGGGCCCCATGCGGGGCCCTCGCGTTGCGTTGTGCCACCTCTTCAGGGGTTCCCAAACAGGGTTATATTGTCTTCCAACCTCTCCCCCACACTCAATGGGCCGGGAGCAGAAAGTGGTAGCCAGTAATTAAAGCTCGTTACAAGTGATCCAGGTGAACCGCGAATAGAAGCAACCCTGGCTTAAGCCTCTTTACACCTGTACCTGGGTAGCCAGGACTTGGCACTTAAGTGCCTCAAGCATGGCTTCTTTCTTCGGTACCCCCCCGAATCGCATCTCCGCCAGGACACGGTGGGCAGTTCCCTGGGACAGCCTATCGGCAGTGTCGGCCTCGGGAGTTAGGATACGCAGTGGTTTTTCGTGACTCTGCACCTTTTGTTCCCGTCTTTTCTTGCGATCGGTGTAGGCAGAGAATGCGAAACCATCCAACTGAGGAGTTCCTTGATTCGAGACTCCTCAGGTTCATTCCATTTCTCATTCCCTGCCGAGAACGAGTTTTCTAGGGAGTGAAGCGTGCTGAAACGGAAACCGTCCCACCTCTCTCTCTCTCTCCCAGCCGCATGGACGCGGCGCGCATCCCACCCGAGGTGATCGCAAGGCCGCGAGCGTGAGAGAAGGCTGGGGCTCAGCGCCGGGACTTCGGGAGATTCGACGGGGGACTTAGCGTGAAGACACCAAACCCACGTGGCAAGCGGTCAGAAGTGCTGTGCTTTCTTCGGAAACAACATGTCGACAACCAGCCACATGGCAGACAAGCCCATGTGGACACAAACCCAAACTGCAGCGCACGGGCAGAAAAACTACTTATAGATGGTCTGCGAAGAATCGCTATAAGTGGCAAGCGGTCAGAAATGCTGTTCTTGTGACTTTCAAGGGGTCTTCGGAAACAACATGTCGACCAGCAGCCACATGGCAGGCAAACCCATGTGGACGCAAACCCAAATTGCCCCACATGGGCAGAACAACTACTTATAGATGCTCTGGGAGAAACCGCGCTTTCAGTGGCACTTGTACCGCTGGTTGCATCTAGCTTTGTCCTGGTAACCATCCCTTAGCGCTTTTTCCCGGACCCCCCGCCATGGGATTCGTCTTGATCAAGGACCTGGTAACCATCCCTATGGTAAGCCCTTTCTACTCATTGATCAAATGACCATTAACCCCTGACCATAAAATTCGTCTCATTAGGCCCCCCTGGTAACCATCCCTTGCCCCTTTCCCAGGCTCACTCGCCCTGTCGCGATGCCTCATGGATCAAACCCGGGCCCGCGAAACCGCAGGCTTGGACCTGGGCTATGCCTCCATCGCTGTGGGCCTCGCCGAGGGCATCTCCTCGGTGATCAAGGCGGGCCCTTTCGCGGGGCCGGCGTTTTGGCGTTTTGGGGCGGTTTGGGCGGGGAGTTGCAGGTGTTTTCCATGTGAATCCCGCAGCTCAGAGGGGTTTTTCCGGTATGTGGGGTCGGGGGTTTGCCGATTTTGCCCTTTTCCGGGGATATCAACTTGGAGGGTGGGTGTCTTTCGTATCTGAGGATGCACCTTCTGGCCAGAGCGTACGCCCTTTGAAATCTGATTTTTTGGAGGGGACGGTCCATTTGTGTTTGGGAGGGGACGGGGTATGTCCAAGGTGTCGAAATGAACGACAAAGGCCCAGAGGGTCCCTACTGAGGACGTATCAATCGCCGAGGCGCTGTTGTTTCTTGAGACGGCCTGGCACAGGTGTGACCGGCCTACATGAATTGTGATTCACGTAAGTGTGTTGCTTTCTTGTTGCGCATGAGAGGAAGCTGGGCCAAGTATGCTGACCATCATGCTCGATGCGATTGCTTGCGTCATGCTGACTCAATGACAATTACGCAGGACGAAGGTTGCTCTCTTGGGGGATCCTTACTCCAGCTCGGTAAATTGTGAGTCTTGATCACGGCGAGCTGGCGTATGCCCTGATGCCTCAACAGGCCTTTTGGGTAACTACGTAGAGCATCAGTTGTCTTGGATTTTGAAGGGGAGCTATCGGGAGGGGGGCCTATCATAGCGGCCTATCCCTTATGAATAAGCCTTATCAAGGGCCTGTCCTTGGCTCATCCTGAAATTATCCTGAGATAGCCCCCCCCCCCCCAAAGCCCCCTAAAGGTGCATGACGGTCGGCTTACGATAAAATTCAAAGTGCGCGCG